GAGAGACGAGAGAGAGAGAGAGAGAGAGAGAGAGAAGGGGGGGGGGGGGAAAGAAGAGAGAGAAAGAGAGATGTGGGAGGTGAATTGTTAGGCTGACCGTTCATTAGATAATTGTGGCCTACATTCTTGGAATATCTGATAACGCGGGATCGTAAAGCGAAGCGACTCTCAGTCGTATGAAAAATGTGATACGGTTCGCACACGTACCGGTTGACGTTGCACCAAATCGCGCTCGTTTATGTTGCCTCTTGGGTGTAAGATGTATCCAACCGTGACCCCAATTGACATAAGGTATGACGTGATTTAACGACATCCTGTTGTTGATAAGCGTTACCGTGGTGCATATACTTCTCTGATTACTCGATGGCTTGCGTTTGCAAGACACCTCTTCAAGTGTGTGATATTAGGAAAATATTATATGAATAGAAAAATATTGATTTAAAAAATATAATATTAAAATAGGGATATTTAGAGGCAAAATAGAAGTCATAACAGGGTTACAATAATTTAATGTAATTCTTTTAATTTATAACTAAGAGTTATGAATTGTAGGTTAATTCAGTATGATTAAACGTCTCTTTCATTGAAGAAAGAATTATTTACAATTTTACCACTGATATGAGTAAACTTCATATCAATCTTTATCGTGTGATAGCAAGTAAAGATTGACAGAATTAAAGTGAGGTTTTGCAAAGTTACATATATGATTTAGGATCTTTCACGAGATTAAGAAGTAACTTTCGCAGTTACGCAGCAGCTCTGTTTTCTATTCCGATCAACGAGTGGTGATTTAAAACACTCGAAGACTATTGAAATAATTTAGAACATACGGCCTGGAATGCATTTAATCCGGCACGATAAGGTTCTTATTTTGTTCACTTTATCTTATTACTCGTCAGCGCTAGAACATCAAGCCGATCTTTTCAGCAATAATCATACAAAATTTTAATTTATTTAGCAGAAACACCAAATCGTTCATCATTAGCTAATGGACAAGCCATGCGCTCTACAGAACACCAATACAATAAATCGCTTCTTCAGCTTCTTGACTGCAATAATGTATTTGGCAATGGTTTCTTCTTTATTTGCAGGCTCATACACTCACTTTCTCTTATATACGCATACCTGTAGAAAATCTGCGACGTTTATATATTATATCGTTCATTCAAAGTAAACAGTATTTGAAAATATGATAATTTTCTCTGTTACTCTCTCGTACACAAATTGATTTATCTCCGTTTACTTTACTCGTCTAATATTTATCGCAGGTGAGGATCCAATGCTCAGCGACCAACAACAGTATCGATACATGACTGTTGACGATATGAAATCCATGGCAGATGACTCAATGCGTATGAACGTGACTGACGACGAAAGAGATAATCGACATTCCGGAGGTATGTAAAAGACACTTGCATCTTCTTCATGCACTCTGCCAAGTATTGTCGGAAAGAACAAATTCTCTAAGTATTTCTTCTTGAGCTCTACATTAAATAATAAAACTTTACGTTAAATAATAGCTTTCTATTTTGTTCGAAAGCAGACACAAACGAAATATTTGCATATTTATGTAATTTATTACGATAAAGAATTTTGTATCATCTTTTTGTTTATATAGTTTTGGCAGAAATGTTTTAAATGATTTTATTAGATTATAAAAAATGTGAAACAACAACTGTGTGTTTTGTAGCATTTAAAATTCTGAGATGAGTATCGAGCATTCGATTATGCTGCGTCGCATTGATTAGATTAGATCATTGTCGGAAAATAAATTTAACGTGCATTGCAATGTGTTTTCTAGCGCCAACCATAACAGAGATGATCACGAAAGAAAATTATCAACGTACGAACGCGGCCAATCTTAAGCCAGACAATGTCGACATCAACAGGCATCCAATACACGTCGGGTATGTAATATTCAATATTTATTTTCGTTTATCACTGTAATTTTTAAATTGAAGATTATTTAAGATGACGAAACTTTATTGTTAATGCGAAGACTTCTTTCAAAATCTCACTTAATATATTAAAATGCAATGATGATATAATACAATTTTGAATAGTTTATTAATTGCAAATTTTATTAAAAGAAATATTATTCATAGACAATTGGAGACATAAAAAAAAAGTAATAATTAATACAACCGAAATCAACTTATAATTGCATGGTTTGCCGTGATTATAATTGATAAGAGTATAATATCCAAATTATAATATTATGACACTCAAAATTTAATGCATGTTATTAATAATTTTAATACCTATGGGTCTGGACTTATTTAACAATCAGGTTTGCGTATAGAGTTGAAAACAAAATAGGTGTGAAAGATAATTATTATAATTCTATAAACAACGTAATTTGTTTTATTCTGACAAAGAAAACAATATAATGTTATGAATTCGATTTTAACTTTAGAATATTTACTCTTGCTACGAAATTTTAAGAATTATCATGATTAAAAATCTCAAATGAGATATAGTTATCATTTCAATAATTCAATAATTATTTTGTTTTTAAATCATAATGTATGAAAGGTATAAAATCTTTTAGTTTATCTGAAATAAGAGAATTTTTTTTTAATTATTAAAAGTTTTGTCAAAATTTGATTTGAAATCAGCTTTACACGCAGCAACTTTTATCTATTGTAAACCAAGAGAATTCTTAGGTGGAATACTGTAAAAATAATGTTATCCGATATTACGAGATATGCGATCCGCGATACCATCCGACCTTGAATTCCGGTGTACATAACGCGATTGACACTGCATTGATACTGCGAAACAATAATGATGTGTATTATAGTGTGGTACAGTGTGTGTTGGTGAAAGTTTCCTGCTATTAATTAATCCTGGAGATGATTGGCTGTCTAAAAAATTTCTTGTTGACTCCACTATCTTAATTTTTTATTCGTAATGATAAATATTAATGAAAAGCAAGCAATATAGTAATCGATATTTTTATTCAAATTATAAATCTTCTCAATCTTCTCAAATCTTCTCAATCAAGATTACTTATCACTGCTGATAAAATCGTCGTAGATAAACATATAATTGTCGTATTATCAAGACAAAGTAGTATTAAAATGAAATAAGCCGTGCTAGATTTAGATGAAAATGTTTAAGCAAACATAATTGCACGCACATTTAACTTAGATTATTTCACACTTGTTCCCATGTTGAGCCTAAAAATAATAAAAGATATACATCACTATTATCAGTGTACGATCGTTAATAGCTTAATAACGTAACGGGTGTCATTTTACCCAAATCGCGTGCAATATTTGCATAATCTTTCAAATTGCCAATTTCACACGTGGCATAAATCATCTGAGTTATGCTAAAAATTAATTAAATATGTTCGGTATATCATAAAAAAGAAATTAGTGTCGCATGTAACAAATTCTAAACGAAATATCTAGATGTTCACAAAGATATTCATTTTATCATTTCTTAAAATATAAATAAATTGTAAAATGTAATAATCATGCAAGGTCACAGCACACGATAACATAGCGTGTCAAAACACAGATAGTTCACTGTTTTATAGTACTCATAGTGAGTTTAGATAGACAATTTGTTTTACGCAATATTCACGATAGGATTTGCAATAGTTTACAGTCATTCAGTCAGCTCGACAAGAACGCTTGATGTTCTCGTTACAGCCTGCTTGTTCGTAGCGAAGTTTCGATTACTTAGTGTTGAGCATGCTGTTTTTCACGTTTCACTTTTGGATGAACGATTCTTTCACAGTGTAAATAATTTACTATTCCTATCTATACTAACCACCCGACTGGTTTGAACAGAGTTTGAGAAACGTCGACAGATCGAATTGAAAAAGAGATTCACGGATCTCTCCTTTCACGTAAAAAATCTTGTATTACTAAGCTAACAGCGCCTATAATGAAACATTCTTTATCACGTCGCATTCCTGCACGCGGCATCACTTAAAAGCGCACAAGATATCTAATGATTTAAAATGAATGCAACGATTGCAACAAAGAAGGGTGCGATTTGTACAAGCGAGATAGCATGAGCATGATATAAAATTGTTATCGATAATCAAAATCGATTCTGTTCTGAGATAGCGAGTCTCTAGAGTCTCTATGCACCTCGCTGGCAGCTCTCAGTACCGCATCGAAAGGACAAGGAATGTGGAGGGACAGGTACACCATCAATCCTTTTTATCTTTCTTCGTACGCACCGTCCTTACCAAATTCGAGAAAATATTAAATTAATAATACTGAAGAGAGAATTTTATGTACTAATTAAAAGTTTTGATATAATAATTGCAAAATCTCTTTGAAGAGAGAGAGAGAGAGAGATACAGGTATATTACAGTATGTATGATGAAAAGAATCGTTCGTCCAAAGAATGTTAAATAGTAGAAACTAGGAAATTTTTCAACGTTACAATAGCTGCTGCTATCGTGGATGTTTTTTTCTCATATAATTAATTTAGTTAATTAAGTTTAGCTATTTCGCGGATGCGGCGGAATCTGTTGCATTAATTATAATTATTCATTTTATAATAATTCATTATATATTTTTTTAATTTTTTTTTTGTGAATAGATATTTTTTTTATTAAGTATACCGATCTATAGTCATATAATTGTGAGTCACAACAGATTTCGGTGTGTCATTTTATTTTAAGTTTCTTCCTCGAAGTACGTCTTTTTTTCGCAGTGTGTGAGTGGTGTGTTGCGTCTCTACTATAATACATAATTATTATTGTTATTTCTCGTTTCGTAGTCATATACAATAGAAAAGTGGCTTGCGTGCGATGACTGCGGGTTTTCGAAGTGATCAGCAACGATCGTCATGATCAAAAGCAATTTTGACGAAAATAGAAAAAAAAAGAGATTAAAATAAAAAAGAGAATCCGACATATGAAGATTCGGGTATATCGTGCTGATTATGAAATTCGATACGAGTTCGAAAATCTGTAAAGATGTGCTGGTATTAGCGATATATCACGATCTCATCTCTCTGTTATATCATCTCATCATCATCATGTTTATGAACGAATGAATACTAACGCGTTTTTTATTTTGTTTCCGATCCTCTGTTATTTTATTTGCGCTACTCGCAGAATTCCACAGTGGAGAAAGTAAGTGATCTTCTCTTCAATCTTAGCTTCTGCAGTTTGCCGTATATATCACTTCCTCGATTTTTTTCGATTATTCTTTCTTTCGTCGTACACACAGCCTATTTATCGCTGCACCATACAAACCTCCGCTGACTATTATTATTTCTAAAAGCTCAGTGAATACATAGTTCATGTAACGAAATATCGATTCGCCAGTTAAATACAATTTCTCGAGAAATCCGTAAAACTTAGAGAGATGATTGAAACTATGAGATGACTAAAACTATGAGAAATGATTAATGAATAAAAACAACAAACATACGCCTCTCAATTATCCAAAATTTTCTACACTTTTTATATTTAAATACTGAAGCTCTTCGCGAGGATGAATTAATTATATGACATACATATAATGATGATGATGAATTAGATAAATTTTATTCAGTAGATTGTACGCAATCACGATTCACAGATGCGTCAACAATATAGACGTGGAATTCAAAATTGAAAAAAACTTATTTACTGCGAGTAATCCTTAATGGCTTCGCACTCGGACGGTCATAATAACGTCTAGTGTCAATATCGCGTTAATTTGAAAGGCGTCCTTGTTCAGCCTCTGTATTCACTGTGCATGTGTATTACACAATTTCCTTGTGAATAATTTATAGGCTCATATCAGGAACTCTCTCAGCGCTAGCACTGCTGCAGTATGTAGTAGTTGAGAGCGATTGAATGGACCCAATTCGTTTGAATCGAATTAGATGACACTTTCCTTGTGTTCAATGTTGTTAGTTTGGCGCTTACGGCTATATTACACCCCATTCAACACAGAGACCTTATACAAAGCCCATATATTTGACTTATATAGATAGCTGTTTTATTTACCTCTTATTTTGCCACAAGTACACCTCGTATAGCTCATTGTCATCTCATCAAACATTCATAGATTTGATTTAGGTAGCTGTTTTATTTATCTCTTATTTTGCCACATTCATTCATTCTCGTACAGCTCTCATTGTAATCTTACTATTTTACTTAATTGCATTATGTCAAATTGATGGCGCACAATAATTACGTATTGATGCAGCATAGTACGAATTATCTTATTGTCATTTCAGGAGATATATGTTATAATCAATGGTATCACGGCGGTTAACGTGACTGAGATACGCATTGTCTCAAAGTGTTAACAAAATCTCATATAATTGCATAATGTTCACGCTTATAGTACGATTTCTGGAGAATTATGCTTTCTAGCTTCTTGCATAATTTTGGTACTGATTGATTCGCATCAGCGATGATACAGTGCATTGTGACTGACATCAATATTAAAATAATATCATATAAAATTGATTTTTCAAATTTATACTATTACTATAATCACTTATCACATTTTCTGCGGAATTATAAATTATGCTATTACCTTTTTCTGTTTTTTATATCGCCTATTATGCAAAATCTCTTTTGCAAAACCATGATGTGTAATAAATGTAATTTATTTTTGTATTATGTATAGTGAAATTAATGTAAATTACTGTAGAAAAACTGAAAGAAGAAAAATCCGCGTGCGTTTATCTCAAATATCCTATATATATATATATATTTTTTTATATATAAAATAGACTTTTTCTATATATTTTTTTTCAGCAGCCTATATATCTATAACGCAATTTTTTTTCTGCGACACTTTTGACGGTTCTTTGTGATGTAACGTTAATTCGAAGTAACACGCTTCCTAAATCTCTTTAGCTTCCTGGTTTCCTTCTTGGTGGACGCGAGAGGCGGTGCAATGCGCGGATGCAGGCACAGTGGCGTCCGCGTGATTGTTCCACCGCGCAAAGCTGCGATGCCTATGCGTGTTACGTGCAGATATTTAAGGAGAGATAAATTGACCAATCCACCGCCCTTGATGGAGGGAGAGGCGTTGGCCAGCCGCATCCTCGAATTGGGTCCTGTAGGTGCAAAATTCTTAGGGTATGTAATATTTTTCATAATTTATTTCTTTATTTTGCTTATCAAATGTGTGCGAGATTCTAAATTTATATGTCCTTTCTTTTAAAAAAGAGGCACGTTATCAATCATGTTTTAATTCATTTTCCAATGTTATATTTTAAATATAAAAATTATTTCGAATGTTAAAATGTACATTTTATTCATAACATTTGGTAGACCTAGAACTTTACTGCGATGTATTAAAATCTTACATTTTAAAGAAAGAAACAGTTTCGAATGTGAAAATGTATATTTTATTCAATTTTAGACACTAGAATTTTATACTTTTATAAAATTTGGTAGATGTTCTTCTGAAACATTAATAAATTTTTTATGTGCAGCCCTGTTATCATAGAGGTACCACACTTTGCATCGTTGCGCGGAAAAGAACGGGAAATAGTGATTCTGCGATCGGACAACGGGGAGACCTGGCGCGAACACACCTTGGAAGCCAGCGAGGAGGCTGTTCAGGATGTGCTTAACGAGAGCTTTGAAGGAGAAGGTACAATTTTCAGACAATTTTTTTCTTATAATTCATACGTATGATAAATTCTAAACTAATGCGCATAATGTATTTTATTTTTAGAGCTAAGCCAGCTAGAGGATCTCCAGACGTCTCGTATCGTTAGAATACTCACCGTAGATTTTCCACATTACTTTGCGGTAGTATCTCGCATCAGACAAGAAGTCCATGCGGTCGGTCCCGAGGGTGGCACCGTGTCGTCATCCGCTGTGCCACAAGTACAAGCTGTCTTCCCGCAAGCGGCCCTTACTAAGAAGATCCGAGTCGGTTTACAGGTATTTTTCTCTGTTCTGTAATTTAAAAATTTGCTATATCTGCATTTATTATTTCACCTACATCTTTGGTATTCAAATATAGTTATTTCGTAAATAGAAAAGTTGTTATTTAAACTTCTTAAATTGCCAAAATATATCTGCAAATAATTGTTTATAAAACTTAATGAATTTTTAGCATTGAAAAAATAAAAGTAAACAACTTAGAATATTTAAGAGCACTACAAAAGGAAATCCTTTCTAATATTTATCTACTGCATTCAATAAAATTGTTATTGTTTTATACAGGCACATCCTATACCGGCGGATCTCGTGGCTAAGTTGCTCGGGAATAGAGTGGCCGTGTCGCCGATCGTCACCGTGGAGCCGAGACGAAGGAAGTTCCATAAGCCGATAACTTTGACTATTCCAGTGCCACAGGCGGCCAATAAAGGCATGATCAACCAGTACTCTGGGGACGCGCCGACTTTGAGACTCCTGTGCAGCATAACTGGTAATATATGCTTGCACGTAACATTGTAGAGGCAGCGTACCGTCTTACTGGAGAATCTCTTACCGATAAACGGCTACGAAATTAATATTGTATTTGCCGCATACACCTTTTGTGTACATATGTGCTCTTACCAAACTTACGTTATTGCGCATTCGAGTATCGACTTACTGTAGTTTAGCAGGCATGAACGCAGACGGTAGGCTATTTCGTTTGTTCTCAGGTCGTCGGGACTGCGAACGAAGTATCAAAACATTTTGCACGAGAAGATTGCTTAAATAGTAGTGGCACTTTTGCAACTCGTTTGTGTTTAGTATGATGAACAGTCTGTACGATTCGTGATCTGCACTTGCGTGTAAAAATGTGAAGTTCTCTTTGAAATAAAGAAAATTGACTTGTGTATGTTAATGTTGGAAAATGTCATGTTTTCTTGTAAACGTAATTTTTGGCCGTTTATATACGTATTATTGGAAAATGTCCCGAGGATCTTCGGATAGAGATTTAAAAGGGAGATGGTAGCTGCATGTTTCATAGAAACATTTTGTTGAGTATCATTATTGTATACATATCTTGTTGTAATTCATTGTTAATGCTTGCATATTGTTAGGATTGAGTCATTTAGGTATGGATTATCAATTAACGTAGATAACATTTTATTACCTAGCCCATTGTCAGCGTTAACTTCGAAGTTTTTGTTTCAGCACATTCGTTTGACTGGTAACCGCTTTAATATTAGAAATTTGTAATTTATATGAAATTGTGCTCATGATATATTCATATATATATTTTAAATTGTTACAATGCTCTCTATAATAATCAATCTTGTGATTCCCAAAGAAATTTATGACCTGATAACAGTATTACATATACACTCAATATATTATTATATTCAAATTTATCTTAAAAATTACAAATTATTAAGAAATTGTGTTTTAAGTATCAATATTTTTACAATACCAGTTTAATTTTGGTTTCCAGAAAAGTTATATACACATACTCATTTCTGTTTTAATTTTTTTTTATTTAACATTATTAAAAGCCACTTATTCTATCAAATACACGTCTTAATGACAAACACATTGATTAATATATCATATTTTTTATTTATCGCTTAATTAGTACTTTAAACTCACACACCTATGATTGCTTTTTACACGAATCATACAAATAGTGCTTCTTCTTAATTTAGCAAGCATTATCATTCGATCAACTACGTACCCACTTTTATACTACTCACACATTAATAAAAAGCACTTGACAACAACGCACTTACAGCGACTGCTTTTAAATACAAAGCCACGCTCGGATTAAAAATCATCAATTATTAATGTACTCATTGTCAGCGTTATTTTCACGTATATGGACACTGATGTCCGCTCGTGGATCATTCGTATTTAATTTCAGTCGCACAAGAATACACCACACATATTTCACTTTTGCCACTTGCGCATTTGCAACACGGACATATTTTAATAATGTTATTGGACTTGGCATGTATGTCGTTCAGGGGGTCAGACTCGGGCAGTCTGGGAGGATGTCACAGGCTCGACGCCGTTGACTTTCGTGAAAGATTGCGTTTCCTTCACCACTACAGTTTCCGCTCGCTTCTGGTTAATGGACTGCCGTAATATTTCCGAGGCCACGAAGATGGCTACGGAGCTCTACACGCACGCAACACATGTACCCTTCATGGCTAAGTATGTTTCGACTGATGTAACACATGATACATAAATTTTAGATAATATAGCTGCAAATTATGCAGGAAGTAATTGATGTGTTTTTCTGTAGATTCGTAGTGTTCGCGAAACGAGTGGACCCATTGGAAGCGAGATTACGTGTATTCTGTATGACAGATGACAAAGAGGACAAAACTTTAGAGCACCAGGAACACTTTACAGAAGTCGCAAAAAGTAGAGATGTCGAGGTAATTATCGACGATAAAAATGCAAATTATCATTAAAACGCTCACAAATTATACGTAATGCATAATTTTTCAAGTGCCAAAGATTCAATGCCATTAAATTATATTTGATGTAGGTTTTGGAAGGAAAAACGCAATATATGGAATTCTCGGGCAATCTTGTGCCTGTTTTGAAAACTGGCGAACAACTTCAACTACCGTTTAGAGCCTTCAAGGAAAATAGAGTTCCGTTTACAGCGAGAATAAAGGATCCAGATTCCGCAGATATGATGGGCCGAATTATGTTTATGAGCGAGCCCAAGGTTCCGAGAGGTGAACTGCCGCAAACGCCAATCTGCACGCTAAACATTTTGCTACCAGAAAAAATTTCTCCAGATACCGCAGTTTCCGAACTGGATTTATTGGAATTGTCGAAAAACTACAGTTTCCTACGTGATGGTGGTATAAGTACGTAAACAAAAATTAAAAGAGAATATAAGAAAAGAGTATTAACTTATTTAACGATATTTATCGAACATTTTTATCTTACGTGTCAAATATTATTTTTAGGCAGACCAGATGCTATACACAGAGCGACCATCCGTTTGACAGACATTGCCAATTTATTAGATAAAGATTGGGAATTATTAGCGGAAGAGTTGAACATCCCTCCTAACGATGTAGCTTTAATAAAAGAAGAATATCCCGACAAACCCGCACAACAGGCCGCTGCTATGTTCAAACTCTGGCAAAACAATGGAAACAAAGCCACAGGTGAGTGCAAATATTGCGCAATTTATTTATCTCTACATTCCCAAATGAGCGCAGTGCGTGAACCTTCGATGAATGAGAATTGGTAGCAGCTGTCTTGGTAACCTTTAAAAAACCAGTTTCCTAGCAAGGTCAATTAATTAGACACGCGCGCGCTATAGTTGAGTCAGGCGTAAGGAATCTCTCCTAGCTACGCAGATGATGATCTCATTGAGCATTATTATGCTTGACATAAGTCTACATGCCCCGTTCCCTCTCCTTTTTGCTAATGGCATTGACTCGCACACAACCGTCGTTTCTGCAATCGGTAGAAATAAGCAGCGTGATTCTGCAGTACGTGAGCAGTAGTCGCGCAGTGAAAGTGATTAAAATCCCAGTGTCCTCCGCCGCTTCTTTATCTGTGCCAACTTTACAAATTAACAAATTGTTGAACTAAATCAAAATTAAAAATATTTTTGTGACATTCTTCGATCAAGAAGATATTTTCCAAGAGAGTGCTGTTTAAATTCTCTTAAATCTTGATTTTAACAATAAATAAAGAACACAATGTTTGTAAGTTTGTATCAAGAATACGAAAATCAGACTCATTACACGAGCGAGCTATTATTAATATTTCGGAAATGTCCTTGCTTGCGTCCGCAGTGTACGATACATTCAGGTTTGTGCAAAATTAAAGGACAGCGAGCGAGAATATAATCGGCTGTAGATTTTTTTATGATATAAATATATTTTTCCATTTAAATTTTATAATTTAATACTTGTAATATTTTATTTCAGAAATGTATACAAAATATTTTAAAACATTGAACGTATTATGATAGATGAATGCTATAGATAAACAGAGAATTATATACATTTAAAATTTATCGTCAGTGAAATATTACATATTCTGTTTTTTTTATTCGTAGGAAATACATTAGAAAAAGCTCTCAATAAGATTGGCCGAGAAGACATAGTGAACAAATGCATCTTTAACGTTGAGTTAGTGACTGATGATGTAGAAAAGGCCGTGGCGAGAGTTAGATTGGATCAACCAGGATTTGATTCACTGAAGGAGGAGTTGGGACCGTCGAGAGACACGTCACTTCGCCGTGATGCGACTATGGACCCTAAAATGGACCCTGATTATGAAGAGCCTGATAGAATGAAGGTGCGCATTTCATGCAAATCTATAAAATTTACATATCGGAAAACATTATTCAAATCTACAAACCGCAAAACATCATTGGGAAAAAATGCTACTTTATGACGGCTCATGTTATCAACTGAATGAATGCTATTATTGAGCTCAATTATGAAAGATACGATCCATCCACTTTATGTTTCGTAAACATTTTTATCTTACCGTAATAGTTAGAACGCGTAACAGCAATTTACTCACATAACTGCGTTTCCACATAAGCGTGGGACTCTAATAATTGTTGAGATAAAGCACGATTCTCTTTTCTTTGTCAGGACTCTGAATCAGTCGAGGATCTCAGTATCACTGGCAACGCCCGCGATAAACGTAAGTCTGTTATAAATCCTGTAAAATTAATTTTTTTTTACATTACTCGCTCTTGCATTGCATTTTTTTATATTACAATACATAATATACAATTCGTCAGAAATGATTCAATATTACACATTTCCTTATATATACTACATTACATACTGCAATCAAAATGTGACTTCACTACACACTATACTTGAATGAGTAATGCACGCGTGTTATCATTTGTTCCGATACACAGAAACTGAGCACTCTTACTCGTGCTTACTTAGAAGATGTGTTAGTCAACGCTTACCGGACAAGTTTACAGCAACCACATATCTGTTACATTCCGTCATGCAACGTTTCACATTAGCTCATGTTACCTCGTGTCTCCTCGTTTATGCGTTTTCTGCACTTCACAGCCAAAGAGCACATCACAATCACAAACGGCACTGTATTCAACGGAACCTCGACCCCCATCAAAGACAAATACGCGAGCGACGAGAAAGAGCTCGGCGACATGATGGCTGATTACCTAGAGCACAAATGCCATGTGAGCGACTCGATGAGCAAAAAGTCGCGCGACGAACTGGATGATCCGGACAAAAAACGTCAGAAAGCGATCGCCGATGCCAACAAGATAGTCTCTGGTAAGTTATTTGAAAGCGATTTGAATGAATGGTGGGTTGAGGGGCCGTGCTTACTACTACTAGCAAAAACCGGCAGCTGTTAATCAATTATAGCGGAGCTACGTCGCCAATGCGGGACTACGCATTTATTTAAAGTTCAGCAGCATGATTGGATTAATGCTGCGGGCACACGCTTGATTTTAGGATATCAATTTAATCGTATTAATCGTATTAACCATCTATCGAACGAGCTGCGTTTCACCGGACTCGCTATTAGAATCCGCTAAATCGGAGATACTTATAATTTTTCTTTGGTGATATCGTGTTCATAGTTATGAAATTTACTAGCTTATTAAATGATCTTTGTATTAAACTCTTAATATATGTTTTTGCTCGAATATGTCGAAAATTGTTTAAAAAATTATTTAGGAGGAAAGTTTTTTTAATTTTCTGTTTATTTAATTTTATAGGCGTTTTCAGAATTCAGTAGTTGTTATTATAATGGCGCAATGATTCTGGACACGATTCCCGTCTATGCATTAAATTCGTCTTAGCTTACAAAAAACATAGTACGTTTTGCGGTGTGTGAAAATAGCGTACATGTGCACTAAACATTTATCTCTGCGCCGTCTTCTACTCACAGGTTCTGGAAGCCAATGCGGATCTCTTCGGAATTTTTATCAGCTTGCTTTTATTTTAATATATAACGGATTATATTTTATTTCGCCTTATATCAAGCAGCTCTTACCTACGACATATATACAATAATTATATAATAATTTTTATATTTCATTTAATCATCCCCACTAATATTCCTCTATTCCGCGACACTTTTGGATTAATTTGTTTCAGCAAGGTTTTGCTGCAATTATTTGGCGTTGCATGAATGGCCAATATGTGTGGCCCAATTGTGTGCGCGCACGGAGCAGCTGTCATTAGAAAAGATCATTAGATATTGTCGCGCGTATATAGAGCATCAGAATATTTTTCTTTTTCTATTTTTTATAGTTAATAAATTAAAAATTACTAAGTCATCACTAATAATAAGCGAACGCTGTTCTTAAAACAGTAATCAAGAGTTTTTGTGAAATTGAATTATACAGTTAAATATTGTTACTACTACTTATTTTCTAACAGCTTCGTTTTGAAACCTTCAGCATTCATTCATAGTTAATATAATACTAATTGAGATATTCTCATGAAAAAGAAACATTTCAGAATTGCAAGCTACTGAAAACGTTTTAAATCTATTTCTTGAAAAATCGAAGTATGTCAGAAATTCGTTGCACCGCGTCTTGATATTACTTCTCCTTCTTGAACAATTGCAATTGTCTTGCATACATATCGGATGTAGTGAGAAGATGGCTGCTCCACAGCACATACACTCCACGCACAAACCACACTACACTCTAACCGCAGTTCAAACAAAAGAGCAATCAAAGAGCGAGCCAGCTTACACTAATGATGACGAAAATTGACAATAAAATTGTGTTCCTTTATTTTTTATCACGTATACAGATGCCTAAAATATATGATACTTAATTAACAGGTGTAATAGCAGACGCAGAGAAAGAGAAGGGGAAGTTAGCGAAGGAAGGGTGGTCGGTGGTTTATGATGATGATGCGCGGGACAGTAAAGAGGCACGGGGTGCGGTAGGGCAGACACTTATTAACGTACAATTAGATAAAGCGGCTGCCGAGCCAGAAGGTGTAGTTACCAAATCGGCCGAACAAATCTCGAGTATCGAGCCACCTATGGTTAGGCAATATCGCGATAGGAAGCCGGATCCCAAAGTTAGCACTTCGAAAACCGTAGTTTCCGTTAGTAGTGGCGATCCGAAAGTAGGTCAGACAGTAGTTACTAAAACCACAATAATAAAACAGTTTGATCAGACACCGACTAAAACCGTGACTACGAAAGAAACGGTTATTGTTTCTCCCGATAAAAAAGACATCGTTAGCGAAAAAGAGAAACTATCTAAGGAAGGAAAAGAAGTCGACGAAAAGTTAGTTCAGGGGGTAAAACCTACGGATGTTACGCAGAAGACGGTAAAGGTTGAAACCGTAACTCGAACTGAGCAGAAGAAACCGGAAGTAAAAGCTCCTGCTGATAAGGATAAGAGTAAAGGAAAGGATAAAGATAAAGAGAAGGAGAAGGAGAAGGAGAAGGATAAAGAAGCTGCTGCGAAGCCAGCGAAAACATCGGCTTACGAAGACGTTTACAACGTGCAGCATCCGACAGACAGCACGGAAGAGAAATCGGACGAAGAGACAAAGAAAGCGAAGGATAAAGGAAGCGGAATATTTTCGGGCATTTTCAAAGGTTCGAAGTTGAGGAGGGGAAAGAAAGGTTCAAAGGACACATCTTTCGACAGTGGTGATGAAGAACCGAAGATCGTAACAAAAATCTCGGAGCAACAGCCTGTCAGCGAAATAGCAGATTCACATTTCGACAGCAAACTAGCGGAAATTACAGTCGCGCCTGATGTGAAATTGGCTACCATGGAATTCTTGGATGACTCTAGACGAATCGCTGCGGATTTGCATGCACCTTACGAAGGTCTTGCAAAACCGGTAGAAAAGGAAGACCAGAAAGTAGAACCCGAAAGCGACGATGACGGCAAAGATAAGACGGGCTTCTTCTCAAGTCTGTTCAAAAGCAAATCTAAAAAGGAAGACGATGGAACGGTTATACCCGTTATTCACGTTCAGAAACCTAAGGAATCGGCGGAACAGATCGCAAAGAAGGAACAAAAGAGATTGGCAGCAATTGCGAAGGAAAAGGAGGAGCTGTTGGAGCTACAAATAAAGGAAAAGGCAAAAGAGGCGGAATCTAAGACTGCTGAAGTACCTAGTGCAATTGAGAAGGAGATTGAGAAAGCTGTAAAAATCATCGAGGAAGTCAAAAGCAAGGCAGCGGAAAAAACCGTCATGGATGAACAACCACTTGACAAGGATGACGAGAAGGAAGATCAAATTAAGGAAAAAGGCGGCTTCTTCGGCATCTTTAAGAGTCCAAAAACTAAGGAAAAGAAGCTCGGCAAGTGGAAAGAAACATCTTTCGACAGCGGCGACGAGGAGAGCAGAGTCGCAACGGAGAAACTTCTGGATGACTCGCGAAAGATTGCTGATATCAGCGCGGAACCAGTAGTGTATAAAGTTGACGGCACGAAAGTTACACCTAAAGAAGAGATACGCACTTTCGTATCCACTACTCAGTACGATGTCGATATTCCTGCGGATAAAATCGGTAAATCTTACGACATTGTTCAAACCACAACGACAGTCATTGAAACAACTATTATCCACGAGGGAGTAGACGGAAAAGCGGATACTGACAAAGAAAAAGAACAAAAAACAGAAAAGGATGTTGAGAAATCTGTTTCGGAGGTGAAATTTGAAACGCCAGAACCGAAAGTGTTAGAATCGGAGAAAGAAGTGAGCGACGATAGCAAAGAAAAGAGTGGTGGCTTCTTCGGCAGATTCAGAAGCCCGAAGTTGAAGAGTAAAAAGAGAAGCAGATCCCGAGAACAAAGTTCTTCAAAGGAGACTTCCTTTGACAGTGGCGACGAAGAAATTCGATTGGCAACGGCGAAACTTCTGGAAGATACGAGGCAAATAGCAGAGAATTTACAGCATCCAGCTGGAGAAAGAATATCTGGAACAGTTACAAGGACTCCACCCATTGATCATGAAGAGATCAAGAAATCTGTAATTCCGGAGGACGAAGTTGCTGAAAAGGATAAGACAAGCGGCATTTTCGGTATATTCAGGAGTCCAAGACAAGGCAGAAGTAGGTCTAGAAGTAGATCGAAGGAAAAAACTCCATCGCTTGAGTTGCCAGATAGTGGTCTAGAAGATGTAAGAGAAGTAACCGCGAAATTCCTGGAAGATTCTCGAAATGTAGCAGACGAATTAGCGGAACATTCTAAAGAGAAAATCTCGGCTGATAAAGATAAGGTAGTGACAGAAACAAAGAAAGTTGAACAACACATTGCCACTGCGGCAAAAGACGTTAGTAAAGGTATTAAGGACGGCAAAGACGCCATTACCAAAAAAGTGGAGGAAAAAGCGCACGATGTCACCGATAGCGCTGAAACTGCGAAGGATAAAGCGAAGAAGTTAAAGGAGAAAGGATCAGGATTTCTATCCGGAATATTTAAAGGTACAAAACACGCCGTAGACGAAGCAGCCGACGACGTAAAAGAATTCTTAGACGAAACGAAGAAAGAAGCTGTCTTAGAAGAAAAGAAAGCCAAAGAAAAGGCTGCCGCAAGTCTCAAAGATTTGAAAGACAAAAAGGATGCTGTCGTCACTGAAGTTCAAGAAGCAGCAGACAAAGCTGCTGCTGACGTAAAAGATGCAAAAGATAAAACAGTCACTGCTGTAAAAGACAAAAAAGATAAAATTGCAGAAAAAGTTTCGAAGGATGCACAGAAAGTTGCAGATGCTACAAAAGCAGCTGGGGAGAAAGCAGCCAGCGAAACGAAAAAGATTGGTGAGAAAATCGAAGAAACTGCTAAAGATGCGGCGCAAGGCGTTAAGGATACTAAAGACGCAGCAGTGAAAGAAGCAAAGGAAGATGCAAAACTAGTCAAAGACAAGCTGGCAGCAGGCGCCGATGCTGCAGCGGAAGCTGCGGATAGTACCAAGGAAAAAGCAACGAAAGAAGCGAAAAAGGCTAAAGAAAAAACTAGTGGCTTTTTCTCCGGCATATTTAAAGGAGCTAAACACTCTGTAGAAGAGGCAACTGACGAAGTTAAAGAATTTTTGGATGAAACGAAGAAGGAAGCTGAATTGGAAGAAGAGCGAGCTAAAGAAAAAGTAGCCGCAGGTCTCGAAGATTTGAAAGACAAAAAGGATGCTGTCGTGACCGAAGTTCAAGAAGCAGCAGACAAAGCTGCTGCTGACGTAAAAGATGCAAAAGATAAAACAGTCTTGGTTATAAAAGACAAAAAAGATAAAATTGCAGAAAAAGTTTCGAAGGATGCACAAAAAGTTGCAGATACTACAAAAGCAGCTGGGAAGAAAGCAGCCAGCGAAACGAAAAAGATTGGTGAGAAAATTGAAGACACTGCTAAAGATGTGGCGCAAGACGTAAAGGATACTAAAGACGCAGCAGTGAAAGAAGTAAAGGAAGATGCAAAATTAGTCAAAGAAAAACTGGCAGCAGGCGCTGATGCTGCTGCGGAAGCTGCAGATAGTACCAAGGATAAAGCAACAAAAGAAGCGAAAAAAGCTAAAGAAAAAACTAGTGGCTTTTTCTCCGGCATATTTAAAGGAGTTAAACACTCTGTAGAAGACGCAACTGACGAAGTTAAAGAATTTTTGGATGAAACGAAGAAGGAAGCTGAATTGGAAGAAGAACGCATTAAAGAGAAAGCTGCCGCAGATCTCAAGGATTTGAAAGATAAAAAGGATGCTGTCGTAACCGAAGTTCAAGAAGCAGCAGACAAAGCTGCTGCTGACGTAAAAGATGCAAAAGATAAAACAGTCTCGGCTGTAAAAGGCAAAAAAGACAAAGTTGCAGAAAAAAATTTCGAAAGATGCACAAAAAGTTGCAGATGCTACAAAAGCAGCCGAAGAGAAAGTAGCATTGGAAACGAAGAAGATTGGGGATAAAATCGAAGAAACTGCTAAAGATGCGGCGCAAGGCGTTAAGGATACTAAAGACGCAGCAGTAAAAGAAGCAAAGGAAGATGCAAAATTAGTCAAGGAAAAGCTGGCAGCAGGCGCCGATGCTGCTGCGGAAGCTGCGGATAGTACCAAGGATAAAGCAACAAAAGAAGCGAAAAAAGCTAAAGAAAAAACTAGTGGCTTTTTCTCCGGCATATTTAAAGGAGTTAAACACTCTGTAGAAGACGCAACTGACGAAGTTAAAGAATTTTTGGATGAAACGAAGAAGGAAGCTGAATTGGAAGAAGAACGCGTTAAAGAGAAAGCTGCCGCAGATCTCAAGGATTTGAAAGATAAAAAGGATGCTGTCGTAACCGAAGTTCAAGAAGTAGCAGACAAAGCTGCTGCTGACGTAAAAGATGCAAAAGATAAAACAGTCTCGGCTGTAAAAGACAAAAAAGATAAAGTTGCAGAAAAAATTTCGAAAGGTGCACAAAAAGTTGCAGATACCACAAAAGCAGCCGGAGAGAAAGTAGCCACAGAAACGAAAAAGATTGGTGAGAAGATCGAAGAAACTGCTGCAGATGCGGCACAAGGCATTAAGGATACTAAAGACGCAACAGTGAAAGAAGCAAAGGAAGATGCCAAATTAGTCAAAGAAAAGCTGGCAGCAGGCGCCGATGCTGCTGCGGAAGCTACAGATACTGCAAAAGATAAAGCGAAAAAGGAAGCAAAAAAAGCTAAAGAAAAAACTAGTGGCTTTTTCTCAGGCATATTTAAAGGTGCTAAACATTCTGTAGAAGATGCTGCTGATGATGTTAAAGAATTTTTGGATGAAACAAAGAAGGAAACTGAATTGGAAGAAGAGCGTGTTAAAGAGAAAGCTGCCGCAGATATCAAGGATTTGAAAGATAAAAAGGATACCGTCGTTACCGGAGTTCAAGAAGCAGCAGACAAAGCTGCTGCTGATATAAAAGATGCAAAGGATAAAGCATTATCTACTGTCAAAGACAAGAAAGATAAAGTAGTCGAAGAAGTCTCGAAAGATGCTCAAAAAGTCGCCGATACCACTAAAGCAGCAGGAGAAAAAGTAGCAACAGAAACGAAGAAGATCGGCGAAAAAATTGGAGACACGACAGCAGATATTGCACAAGATGTTAAAGATATTAAAGATGCAGCGGTCAAGGAAGCACAAGAGGATACAAAATTAGTAAAAGAAAAACTGGCAGCAGGCGCCGATGCTGCCGTGGAAGCTGCAGATAGCGCAAAAGATAAAGCGAAGAAAGAAGCAAAGAAAGCTAAAGATAAAACAAGTGGCTTTTTCTCCGGCATATTTAAAGGTGCTAAACATTCTGTAGAAGAGGCAACTGATGAAGTTAAAGAATTTTTGGATGAAACAAAAAAGGAAGCTGAATTGGAAGAAGAGCGTGTTAAAGAAAAAGCTGCCGCAGGTATCAAGGATTTGAAAGATAAAAAGGATGCCGTCGTTACCGGAGTTCAAGAAGCAGCAGACAAAGCTGTTGTTGATGTAAAAGATGCAAAGGATAAAACAGTCTCTGCTGCAAAAGACAAAAAAGACAAAGTTGCAGACAAAATTTCGAAAGATGCACAAAAAGTTGCAGATGCTACAAAAGCAGCCGAAGAGAAAGTAGCATCGGGAACGAAGAAGATTGGTGAGAAAATCGAAGACACTGCTGCAGATGTGGCGCAAGGCGTTAAAGATGCTAAAGACGCAGCAGTTAAAGAAGCAAAGGAAGATGCAAAACTAGTAAAAGAAAAATTAACCGCAGGTGCTGATGCTACTGCGGAAGCTGTGGATAGTGCCAAGGATAAAGCAATGAAAGAGGCGAAAAAAGCTAAGGAAAAAACTGGTGGCTTTTTCTCCGGCATATTTAAAGGCGCTAAACATTCTGTAGAAGAGGCAAGTGATGACGTTAAAGAATTTCTAGATGAAACGAAAAAAGAAGCTGAATTAGAAGAAGAGCGAGCTAAAGAAAAAATTGCCGCAGGTGTCGAAGATTTGAAAGATAAAAAGGATGCTGCCGTCACTGGAGTTCAAGAGACTGCAGATAAAGTTGCCGCTGATGCAAAAGATGCAAAAGATAAAGCAGTTTCTGCTGTTAAAGACAAGAAAGATAAAATTGTTGAGGAAGTTTCAAAAGATGCTCAGAAAGTTGCCGAAACCACGAAAGCAGCTGGAGCGAAAGTAGCAACAGAAACGAAGAAGATGGGCGAAAAAATTGAGGACACAGCAGCAAATATTGGACAAGATGTTAAAGATACTAAGGATGCAGCGGTCAAGGAAGTGCAAGAGGATACGAAATTAATAAAAGATAAATTAGCAGCGGGCGTCGATGCTACTGTAGAAGCCGCGGATAGTGCAAAGGATAAAGCGACGAAGGAAGCGAAAAAAGCTAAAGAAAAAGCAAGTGGCTTTTTTTCTGGCATCTTTAAAGGCTCTAAACATGCAGCTCATGATGCAACTGAAGACGTCAAACAATTTCTCGATGAAACGAAAAGAGAAGCTTCAGTAGAAAAAGAACGTATCAAGGAAGAAGCAACTGAAAATCTCAAGGATTTGAAGGATAAAAAGGGTGCTGCCGTTTCTGGAATTCAAGAAACCGCGGATAAAGCTGTTACCAATATTAAGACTGCAAAAGATGAAACTATTTCCGCTGTTAAGGATAAAAAAGATGAAATTGTAGAGGAAATATCTAAAGATGCTAAAAAAGTTGCGGACACCACAAAAGCAGCTGAAGAAAAGATAATAGCAGAGACGAAGAAAATTGGTGAGAAAGTAGAAACAACTGCTGCAGATGCGGCACAAGGCGTTAAGGATACTAAGGACGCAGCAGTTAAAGAAGCAAAGGAAGACGCGAAATTAGTGAAAGAAAAACTGGCAGCAGGCGCCGATGCTGCTGTGGAAGCTGTGGATAGTGCTACGGATAAAGCAACGAAAGAAGCAAAGAAAGCTAAAGAAAAAACTGGTGGCTTTTTCTCTGGCATTTTTAAGAGCGCAAAACACGCTGTAGAAGATGCAACAGATGACGTTAAAGATTTTATGGACGAGACAAAGAAGGAAGTTGCGCTGGAAGAAGAACGCATTAAAGAGAAGGCTGCCGCAGGTGTCAAGGATTTGAAAGATAAGAAGGAATCTGTCGTTGCTGGGATTCAAGAAACTACAGACAAAGTTGTTACCGATGCGAAAGATGCAAAAGAGAAAGCAGTTACTGCTGCTAAAGATAAGAAAGACAAAATTGCAGAAAAAGTTTCCAAAGAAGCACAGGAAATTGCCGACACTACAAAAGAAGCTAGTGAAAAAGTTGTAACAGAGACGAAGAAAGTTGGTGAAACAATTGGAGATACAGCAGCAGATATTGCACAAGATGTTAAAGATACCAAGGATGCTGCGGTCAAGGAAGTACAAGAGGATACAAAATTAATAAAAGAAAAATTGGCAACAGGCGCCGATGCTGCTACAGAAGCTGCGGAAGGCGCAAAAGAAAAAGCGACGAAAGAAGCAAAAAAAGCTAAAGAAAAGACAAGTGGCTTCTTTTCCGGTATATTCAAGAGTGCGAAACATGCCGCCGAAGATGTATCAGAAAATGTAAAGGAATCTGTAAGTGATGCGAAGAAGGAAGCGGCAGAAGGATTGGATGATTTAAAACGTAAAAAGGATGATGCGATACATAGTGCGAAAGATGCTACGGATAAAACCATCGAAGATGTGAAGGATGCGAAGGACAAAACAATTTCTGTAGGAAAAGATACAAAAGACAAAATTGTGGATGCGGCCGCCAAAGATGTAGAAAAAGCAGCAGACAGTTTGAAAACAGTTCGCGACGACGTAATTTCGAAGACTAAAGATATTGGCGAAAAAATTGAAACTACAGCGACCGACGTTGGACGTGATATAAAAGATGCTAAAGATGCAGTCGTCACAGAAGCGAAAGAAGATGCTAAAGTCATAAAAGAAAAATTGGTTGCCGGAACAGAAGCAGTTACAGATAAAACGGAAGCTGTTAAAGACAAAGCAACTAAAGAGGCAAAGAAAGCCAAAGAAAAAACGAGTGGCTTTCTTTCAGGAATATTCAGAGGATCGAAACATTCTGTGGATAGTACAGCGGAAGACGTAAAGGATTTCCTGGAAGAAACTAAGAAGGAAGCATCGTTGGAGCAAGCACGTATCAAGGAAGCAGCAGAAGCCGAACTGAAGGATGTGGAACGCAAGAAGGACGATATTGTCACCGAAGCGAAAGAAGCGAAAGATCGTATCGCTGAAAAAGTAGTCGACGAAGTCGACAAAGCTGCCGATGCAACTAAAGCGGTAGACGATAAAATCATTATTGAAACGAAGCGAGTTGCCAAAGATATTGCGGAAGGAATTTCAGATGCTAAAGACAGCGCGGCGAAAGAAGTAAAGGAGGATATACAATCAGCACAGGACAAAATAAAAGCAGGAAGTGATACTGTCGCAGATAGTGCTGTAGCTACTAAAGATAAGGCTGCGAAGGAAGCAAAGAAGGTTAAGGAAAAGGGCAGCGGTTTTCTTTCTGGAATATTTAAAAGCGCAAGACATTCTACAGAAGAAGTGGCTGATGATCTGAAAGAATTTGTTGATGAAACGAAGAAGGAAGCAGAATTGGAAGAACAGCGAGCTAAAGAAAAAGCAGTCGCAGGTTTAAAAGATTTGAAAGATAAAAAAGATGCCGTTGTCAGTGATATTAAAGAGGCCACCGATAAAGCCGTTACTGACGCAAAGGATGCAAAGGATAAAACAATCTCTGCTGTAAAAGACAAAAAGGATAAATTTGCAGAGGAAGTTTCCAAAGATGCACAAAAAATTGCTGACGCCACGAAAACAACCGGAGAAAAGGTAGTCGCAGAAACAAAGAAGATCGGCGAGAAAATTGAAGATACGGCGACAGATGTTGCACAAGGTATCAAAGATACTAAGGATGCTGCAGTGCAAGAAGTGCAAGAGGATACAAAATTAGTGAAAGAAAAATTGGCAGCAGGTGCCGATGCTGCTGCGGAAGCTGCTGACAGCGCAAAAGATAAAGCGAAGAAAGAAGCAAAGAAAGCTAAAGATAAAACAAGTGGCTTTTTCTCTGGCATCTTTAAAAGCTCTAAACACTCTGTTGAAGATGCATCTAGCGATGTCAAGCAATTTTTAGATGAAACGAAAAGAGAAGCTTCATTAGAAAAAGAACGTGTCGAGGAAGAAGCTGCGAAGAGTGTGAAAGATTTGAAAGATAAAAAGGATTCTGTCGTTACCGGAATTCAAGAGACCGTCGACAATGCTGCTGCTGATATAAAATATGTAAAGGATAAAACAATTTCTGCTGCAAAAGACACAAAGGACAAAATTGCAGAGGAAGTTTCCAAAGATATACAAAAAGTTGCCGATGCCTCAAAAGCAGCTGTGGAGAAAGTAGCCACGGAAACGAAAAAGATTGGTGAAAAAGTAGAAACAGCTGCTGCAGATGTGGCGCAGGACGTTAAAGATACCAAAGATGCTGCGGTCAAAGAAGCACAAGACGATACAAAATTAATTAAAGAAAAATTGGCAGCAGGCGCCGATGCTGCCGCAGAAGCTGCTGACAGTGCAAAAGATAAAGCGAAGAAAGAAGCAAAAAAGACTAAAGAAAAAACTGGTCGCTTTTTCTCCGGCATATTTAAAGGCGCTAAACACTCTGTAGAAGAGGCAACTGACGAAATTAAAGAATTTTTGGATGAAACGAAGAAGGAAGCTGAATTGGAAGAAGAACGCGTTAAAGAGAAAGCTGCCGCAGATCTCAAGGATTTGAAAGATAAAAAGGATGCTGTCGTAACCGAAGTTCAAGAAGCAGCAGACAAAGCTGTTGCTGATATAAAAGATGCAAAGGATAAAACAGTCTCTGCTGTAAAAGATAAAAAAGACAAAGTTGCAGAAAAAATTTCGAAAGATGCACAAAAAGTTGCAGATGCTACAAAAGCAGCCGAAGAGAAAGTAGCATCGGAAACGAAGAAGATTGGTGAGAAAATCGAAGACACTGCTGCAGATGCAGCGCAAGGCGTTAAAGATGCTAAAGACGCAGCAGTTAAAGAAGGAAAGGAAGATGCAAAACTAGTAAAAGAAAAATTAACCGCAGGCGCCGATGCTACTGCGGAAGCTGTGGATAGTGCCAAGGATAAAGCAATGAAAGAGGCGAAGAAAGCTAAGGAAAAAACTGGTGGCTTTTTTTCCGGCATATTTAAAGGCGTTAAACACTCTGTAGAAGAGGCAACTGATGACGTTAAAGAATTTCTAGATGAAACGAAGAAGGAAGCTGAATTAGAAGAAGAGCGTGCTAAAGAAAAAATTGCCGCAGGTCTCGAAGATTTGAAAGATAAAAAGGATGCTGCCGTTACTGGAGTTCAAGAGACTGCAGACAAAGCTGCTGCTGATGTAAAAGATGCAAAGGATAAAACAGTTTCTGCTGTTAAGGATAAGAAAGATAAAGTTGTTGAGGAACTTGCCAAAGACACTCAGAAAATTGTCGATACCACGAAGGAAGCTAAAGAAAAGGTAGCAACGGAAGCCAAAAAGATTAGTGAAAAAGTTGGAGATACAGCAACAGATATTGCAAAAGGCGTTAAAGATACCAAGGATGCAGCGGTCAAGGAAGTGCAAGAGGATGCAAAATTAATAAAAGAAAAATTAGCAGCAAGCGCCGACTCGGCTGTAGAAGCTGCTGACAGTGCAAAAGATAAAGGAAAAAAAGAAGCAAAGAAAGCTAAAGAAAAAACAAGTGGTTTCTTTTCCGGCATATTTAAAGGCGCTAAACACGCTGTAGAAGATGCAACTGACGACGTCAAAGAATTTTTAGATGAAACAAAGAAAGAAGCAGAACTGGAAGAAGAACGTGTAAAAGAGAAAGCTGTCGCAGGTCTCAAGGATTTAAAAGATAAAAAAGATGCCGTTGTCAGTGATATTGAAGAAGCCACCGATAAAGCTGTCACTGACGCAAAAGATGCAAAGGATAAATCAATCTCTGCTGTAAAAGACAAGAAGGATAAATTTGCAGAGGAAGTTGCTAAAGATGCACAAAAAATTGCTGACGCCACGAAAACAACCGGAGAAAAGGTAGCCGCAGAAACAAAGAAGATCAGCGAGAAAATTGGAGATACGGCGACAGATGTTGCACAAGGTATTAAAGATACTAAGGATGCTGCGGTGCAAGAAGTGCAAGAGGATACAAAATTAGTGAAAGAAAAATTGGCAGCAGGCGCCGATGCTGCTGCGGAAGCTGCTGACAGCGCAAAAGATAAAGCGAAGAAAGAAGCAAAGAAAGCTAAAGATAAAACAAGTGGCTTTTTCTCTGGCATCTTTAAAAGCTCTAAACACTCTCTAGAAGATACATCTAGCGATGTCAAGCAATTTTTAGATGAAACGAAAAGAGAAGCTTCATTAGAAAAAGAACGTATCGGGGAAGAAGCTGCGAAGAGTGTGAAAGATTTGAAAGATAAAAAGGATTCTGTCGTTACCGGAATTCAAGAGACCGTCGACAAAGCTGCTGCTGACGCGAAAGCTGCAAAGGATAAAACAGTTTCTGTTGTTAAAGATAAGAAAGATGAAATTGTTGAAAAAGTCTCTGACGATGCTCAAAAGGTTGCCGACGCCACAAAAGCAGCTGGAGAAAAGATAGCAACAGAAACGAAAAAAATCGGTGAAAAAGTTGGAGAAGCGGCGACAGATATTGCACAAGGCGTAAAAGAAACTAAGGATGCTGCTGTTAAGGAAGTGCAAGAGGATACGAAAGTAGTAAAAGAAAAATTAGTAGCAGGCGCCGATGCTGCCGCAGAAGCTGTGGATAGCGCCAAGGATAAAACAACGAAAGGAGCGAAAAAAGCTAAAGACAAAACTAGTGGCTTTTTCTCTGGTATATTTAAAGGTGCAAAACATGCGGTCGACGATGCAACCGACGACGTTAAAGAATTTTTAGATGAAACTAAGAAGGAAGCTGCATTAGAAGAAGCTCGTGCTAAAGAAGCTGCTGCTGTAAAACTTAAGGAGGTGGAAGAAAAGACAGACAGTGCAATTGCTGCTGTTAAGGATACTGTAGAAAAAACAGCATCTGATATAAAAGATTCTAAAGACAAAACAGCGTCTGCAATAAAAGATAAGAAAGACGAAATAGCGAAAAAGGTATCGGAGGATACTCAGAAAGTAGTTGAAACTGTAAAGGCGAAAGGTGATGAATTAGCAGCGGATGCGAAGAAAGTTCACGAGAAAATTGAAACCACTGCAGAAGATTTAGCACAAGGCATCAAGGATACAAAAGAAAAAGTCAGCGTGGAAATAAAAGAAGACGCAAAAATTGCAAAGGAAAAATTAGCTTCAGGTGCTCAGGCTGTAACAGATGATGTACAGTCAGTCAAAGATAAAGGAGTGAAGGAAGTAAAGAAAGCTAAAGAAAAAGGTTCCGGATTCTTCTCAAATATATTTAAAGGCGCGAAACATTCTACTGAGGATGTATCTGATGATGTGAAGGAAATCGTGGATGATGTCAAAAAAGGAGCGATTTCTGAGGGAGAACGCATTAAGGAAACGACAGAGTCAGGGCTTAAGGATTTGAAAGATAAAAAAGATGATGCAATTAGCGGTATAAAAGATGCGAAAGATCAGGCTAAAGCAGCCGTCAAAGACTCATCGGATAAGGTGGCAGAAAAATTATCTGATGGTGTTGATAGCATTAAGGATGCAGGTGAGAAAGTAGCAACTGATGTAAAAGAAATTAGCGAGAAGACCAAATCGGCGGGACGAGATCTTGTAGAAGATGTGAAGGACACGAAGGATGGGATTGTAAAAGAAGTTAAAGAGGACACGCAAATCGCGAAAGAAAAATTATCAGCCGGTGAAGAAGCTGTCGTGAGCAAAACAGAAGCAGCGAAAGATAAAGTCATTAAAGAAGCGAAAAAAGCAAAAGACAAGAGTACCAGCTTCTTCTCTGGTATATTTAAAGGCAAGCACAGTACAGAAAGCACAACGGACGATATGAACAAATTTTTAGATGAAATGCGAAAAGGAGCAACCGAAGAATTAAAAGATCTGGATCATAAGAAAGATGCTATAGTCAGCAGTGTCAAGGATACAACAGATCGAGCTGCGACTGAAGTAAAAGATGCCAAGGATAAAACTGTTGCAGCTGTAAAAGATACGAAAGATGAAATCGCCGAGAAAGTGTCCGAAGAAATTCAGAAAGCTGCAGATACGAGCAAAGAAGCCAAAGATAAAGTAAAATCTGGAGTACAAGAAATTGGCGAGAAAATAGATTCGACAGGACGAGATATCGCGAAAGGAGTGGTGGATACGAAAGACAAAGCCGTTAAAGAAGTTAAGGATGATGCAAAAATAGTGAAAGAAAAATTGGCAGCGGGAGCTGAAGCTGTTGTCGATGGTGCCGAAGCTGTTAAAGACAAGACGACTAAAGAAACAAAGAAAGCGAAGGAAAAGGGGTCTGGTTTTCTATCTGGTATATTTAAAGGTGCGAAACATGCCGTAGAAGACGCAACTGACGACGTAAAAGAATTTTTAGACGAGACAAAGGAAGAGGTTGAATTAGAAGAACAACGTGCTAAAGAAAAAGCCGCTGCCGGTATTAAAGACCTGAAAGATAAAAAAGATGCTGCCCTTACTGGAGTTCAAGAAGCTGCAGACAAAACTGCTGCTGATGTAAAAGGTGCAAAGGATAAAACAATTTCTGCCGCAAAAGACACAAAGGATAAAATTGCAAAGAAAATCTCGAAGGATGCACAGAAAATTACGGACACGATAAAAGCAGCCGGAGAGAAAGTAGCAGCAGAAACAAAGAAGATTGGTGAAAAATTTGGAGATAAGGCGGCAGATATTGCGCAAGACGTTAAGGATACTAAAGCTGCTGCGGTTAAAGAAGTAAAAGAAGATTCAAAATTAGCGAAAGGAAAATTGGCAGCAGGCGCCGATGCTGCTGCGGAAGCTGCTGATAGCGCAAAAGATAAAGCGAAGAAAGAAGCAAAGAAAGCCAAAGAAAAAGGATCTGGTTTTCTATCGGGAATATTTAAAGGTGCGAAGCATTCCATCGAAAGTGCAACAGATGATGTCAAAGAATTTGTAGATGAAACGAAACATGAAGCAGAATTAGAAGAAGCTCGTGCTAAAGAAGCAGCAGCGGCCAGTTTGAAGGAATTAGAACATAAAAAGGATGCTGTAGTTAGCGGCGTAAAAGATACAGCAGATCGAGCTGCTGCTGGAGTAAAAGATGCCAAGGATAAAACTGTCACAGCTGCAAAAGATACTAAGGATAAAATCGCCGAGAAAGTGTCCGAGGAAATTCAGAAAGCTGCAGACGTGACCAAAGAATCCAAGGATAAAGTAAAATCTGGAGTACAAGAAATTGGCGAGAAAATAGATTCGACAGGACGAGATATCGCGAAAGGAGTGGCGGATACGAAAGACAAAGCCGTTAAAGAAGTCAAGGATGATGCAAAAATAGTGAAAGAAAAATTGGCAGCAGGAGCTGAAGCTGTTATCGACGGTGCCGAAGCTGTTAAAGACAAAACGACTAAGGAAGCAAAGAAAACGAAGGAGAAGGGATCCGGTTTTCTATCGGGAATAGTTAAAGGCGCGAAACATGCCGTGGAAAGCGCAAAAGACGACGTTAAAGAATTCCTGGACGAAACGAAACACGAGGCGGAATTAGAGGAAGCTCGTGCTAAAGAAGCAGCGGCGGCTGAATTGAAAGAATTGGAGCACAAGAAAGATATTGTTGTCGCTAGCGCGAAAAGCGTTACGGAAGGCGTGGTAGCTGATGTCAAAGATGTTAAAGTTAAAATTTCCAAAGAAACGGATCAAGTGGCAGAAACGACAAAAACCGCAGCTGACAAACTAGCAACCGAGACGAAAAAAGTCGGTGGAAAAATAGAATCCAAAACCACAGACGTCGCACGTGGTATAAAAAGTGCTAGGAGAAGTCTCGATAAGGAAATAAAGGAAGATAAGAAAGCGTCAAAGGATAAATTAACAAAGAGTGCCGATGCTGTTGCGAATGGTGCTAAAACGGCCAAGGGTGATCTTGCGAAGGGTGTGAAGAAGACTAAGGACAAGGGCTCCGGTTTCTTATCAGGAGTTGTTCAAGGTGCAAAACACACGGGAAAGGAAATTTCTGATGACGTGAAAGATTTTCTAGAAACAACCAAGCAGGAAGCAGCCGCTGACGAAGCGCTCGCAAAAGAGGCTGCAACAGCGAAATTAAAAGATCTTGAACACGCGAAGGATAAAGCCACCAGTGAGATTAAAACTGCTACCGATAAAGCTGCGAAGAGTGTGAGAGATGCCAAGGAGAAAAGTGTTTCCAGCGTGAAGGATGTGAAGAGCAAAATAGTTTCCACTGCGAAAGCAGCGGGTGATAAAGTAGGACAAGGTACATCGCAAGCCAGTCAGAAAATTAAATCCACCAGTCAGGACGTGACGCCGAAGGCTAAACGTGCCAAAGACGCCGTTGTCGGCGAAACGAAACAAGACGCACAGATAGCAAAAGAAAAATTAGCAGCTGGTGCGGACGCTATTGCGGACACTGCGGACGCCGCAAAGGACAAGATCGCGAAGGAAGCAAAAAAAGGCAAGCAAAAGCCTGGTTTTCTATCGGGTGTGGTGAAGAGTGCCAAACACGCGGTAGAAGACGCGACGGATGATATGAAGGAATTCCTAGAGGAAACCAAGCAAGAAGCAGCCGCAGAGGAAGCTCGCGTCAAAAGTGACCTTGCTCAGGCGAAAGATAAATCCACCAAATTGACAGCTGATGCGAAAGACAAATCCGCCGGTGCCGTCAAAGATGTGAAGAAGAAAATTACTCAGAAAGTGTCTAAATCGTCACCTGTCGCGAGACGCGCGTCGGCAGATGTAGTTTCTAAAGACACGGGTAGGAAATCGCTAACAACCGAGACGAAAAAAATCGGTGGGAAAGTATCGAAATCCACGGAGCGGGTTCAGGAGGTAGTTCGTAGTTCCGAAGTAGCTGGTAGGCCGCAGGGCGACGTCGAGCATTTAACCGAGACAGTTAGGGTAAAGAAAGTCTCTCGCATTCCACAAAAAGTTAGTCCGGGCAAAGAGATAGTGAGCGGCGCGGATGAGTCAGGTTCAAGTAGAACAGTAGTAGAAACAGTATCCACGATAGGGCACCCTGAGCCTCGCACACGGCACTCCGTCACCACAGTCGTGACAAAGTCTGTGCGAACGACCCCACCGCCACCCAGTTCACTCGCCGAGTTCACTGACAGTAGAACCGAAGGTATCTTGCAATAATCTTGCGTTATCCATATATCTATATCTATATATTATATATTACATACCAGCTGTGTGTAACATGATTAATGATTAAGTTGATGCTTCTCTGTAACTTCAGTTTTACTAGTTATTCTCGTGACATCAGAGAGAAAAAAAAGAAAGCGAGATATATATTCATGCACCTTCGTCACTCATTAATGAAACCTCTAACACTCTAATCTCAGTCATTTCCAGTCCACTAATTCGTCGTTTTTACGACCCGTAGAGCCGATCGACAACATCCGAGACATTCATACTACCGCTTGTTCCTGTTATAGTTTTCTGCGTATTGTTTTGGATTTGTTTTATGTTTTTAAGTGTCGAATGGGTATATTGTTAATCGAAATCAATTTCAGATACAAATAAGAATATATTTAATTTTAATTTAATTAATTGCAATAAATAATTGTATTTAAGACAAAGTATGCAAATCAGGAACAATTTGTTATAATAGGAGAAGATCTAAAGAGACATTCGGTCGAAGAGTAAACGATATACCTATATATATACATATATATATATATATTATATTTAATTATTTGCTGTATTTATTTTCAGTTACATCTTAACATTAATTTTAATAACACCCTTTTAATGCATGATTCCAGGTTTTTATGCTAATTTTTAAACATCTCTTACTACGATGGATAATTTCCTTAGTACTACTTACCGAACATCGGGACCTTATTTTGTCGCCAGAATCATGTCTCTTTATTTTACGTTTATAGCATATAACATATAGAGATCACGTGTTTACGATTATGCGGTAATATGTCTCATTGAATTAACAGGAGAATACCACAACTAGCGAAGCATGAACCGAGGTATGCCATGCAGGGAATACATCATTCATCATCTAATCTTTGTTGAATCACTGCTTTTAATGTCGTACTTATCGATTCACGATGTAAACTCATTTCTTGTTTTGTGTGCACTTTTACAGATGTAACCGAAGAGGCTGCGAGACGAGCTCAGAACCTGGCGGAACAGGCGTACACCGCGACGAAAACAGGTAACGTACTATGACTCGAGTAAAATGTAAGACTTCACGTACGCGGATCATCATCTTCGGTCGAAGATCAGTGACGGTAGCAGACTCTGTTTTTTGGTGCCCTCATTTATATTTAGCTTTATCTTCCATAGTTAGCACCTGCCGACGCTTTCACACTAACTGATATTATGCGCACGTCTCTTACTAAATAGTTACCGAATCTCTTTTTGCTGATATACACATACGCGGGGAAGAGAGATCTAGTTCTCATCTGCGATACAAAGTATCAATCTGTATATATTATAATATACTCGTTGAGTAGTTTAGCCAGAACGTCGAGTAAATCGTAGTACGCAACCAGCGAAAGTTATTCTTCGAGAAACAAGTCAAGAATATAAATTAGAGCTTATTTATTAATTTTGTAGTTTTAAGAAAAATAATTTTGAACATAAAAGTAGTGTTTACTATGTATATTCCTCTCAGACGCTCTCAGCGTGTCGCTGCTTCCACGATGGTACGTTTTAGTAAGACTCAGGCGCTACGACTAGACACCGTTTTTTAATGAGTGTACATTTTTTTGTTCTCAATAAACAGACTAATCCTGTTGCAGTATTGATACTAACTAAACTAAACATACGCGAGTAGAACCGCGTTGCGCGCATACACGCATCACACTTAAAAGCGCATCCCTCCAAATTTGTTTCACCTGACGCGCCGTGTGTGTACGTGTGTGTGTGTGTGTGTGTATGTGCACCAGCGCGAGTCTCTCAATGGGTTACGCGCGTACACATGCGTATGCGAGGCAGACACGCTCCAAGTCTTTTCCGGTCCAACTTTGGCGGCTGGGCTAGAATTGAAATTCTTAGTGTGTATCAATGTGCTTTATGTCCTTGTTCCTGTTCTTGTCCATGTCCTTTTGGATGGGTCAGGGCATGATTCGGCTGAGATTGATGGGACTGTAGAGAGGCATGCTACTTCTGCTCCATCAAAGCAACCTGTTCCCGCCCCGCGTCACTCCACCACCAAGCCGTCTACCAAACCCGAGTTCCATCTGGAGCTCGGTGACGCCTCACGAACACGTAAAACGATCGAGCAGCCGACGCAGGAAGCGCAGTCGCCGAGCAAGAGCAAGATACCTGTTAAAGTTGATCCTCGCTCGCCCAAATTAACCGATGACTTCGAAGTGATTGCAAGATCGACTACCGAATTCGTTCCACAAGCAGTTACACGAACCGTCAAATACATCACCAGAGAATACTCGGATGAGGAGTTGATCAAAGAAAAAAATATCAAACCGGATGACGCGACTGTGATAAGCAGGACGGAAATGGATCCTTCGATGGAACAAATACGGCGAACAACCACTACGATAATGACTAGCGATTCGTCGGTCGATCCCGAGAAATTGCAGGAGCTGCTGAAAACGGGCGGAGTCGTTGAAACTGTAAGGACCGTGACTCTGACCTCGGAGGACAGCGCTTTGCAGCCTATGACACGCGAGGCGGTCGTAGAAAGGATAAATCAGGTCACAGGAACGCTGTCGAGCGAAATCTTCGATTTCGACGACAAGTTTCCGGATTCCTCCATCACTACTGTGAAGACCGATGGATCCGATGACGTCGTTCAGACGGTTACACGCGTGCAACGCGTAACGATGGAGATGCCGGAGACTGAGAGAACCAGAAGAGTGGTGAGAACGGTGATCTCCAGCGGCAGCGGCGGCGATTACGACGACGCGGAATCCGCTCTGAAGAGTCTTCAGGAGCGATTGACGAAATCCGAGATCGGCGAGACCGCCTCCTGGACGGCGGGTGAGCAGTGGGAGACCGGGACGCAGTACTCTCAAGACACGTCGCCCGGCTCCGGCAACGACGGCGGCGGCAGCGTTGACGCGTTCGCCGCCGGCAACAACAACAAGAACGATGGTAGCTTGAGGCACGATGTGCACAGCGACACCGATAGTGACGGTTCGCCGCAACCTAGAAGAAGATCCCCGAGCAAGAGGCGTACATTGGGCAGTTCCAGCGGGTCGGATGTAGCACTGCACGAAGGTGCGGAGCTGTCCCCGTTGGAGGACGACCAAGGTACCGCACTCTCACAGCTATCCTTCTAAGTAAGCAATGTACATACCCCTTCCGAAGCCCCTCGCTAGCCGGTTACCTCTCGGATACGTGAACGAGCCCGAAAGAAAAGATATATCTATATATGGGATTATATTACACATTGAGCTTTTTTGATGTCGGACCCTGGCTACCCTTGCACGCATCCCCAAGCACCCCTCCTGCACTTTTCGCTAGTTGCACGATCATTTGGAAGCATGCTCGATGTTGGGGAGAATCAGTTTAGGTAACAGGGCTTTGTCTATTAAAATCATCACTGGTGCAACAAAATTGATTGAAAAAATTGCTCGAATAGTAAATTCTAAGCATAAGTTAAATATTTCGAATATGCAGTTGCTCCAAGGATGAAGTTTAGGATTGAAATCGATTAAAATATTGAAAATCGAGATAGTCAAACGTTCTTTATTAGCTTATTTGTAAAAATTTTTTTTTTTCTTTAAAAACAATGCTAATATAATTTTTTGTACATAAAACTTTTCTTTCATTTTTATTACGTATTTTTTTATTTAAGTGTGTTAACACATTTTGCAGTTTATAAAGTGTATTAACATTTCAAGTCTTATTTTCAAATAAAATAGTTAAGAACGATTGACTGTCTGGATAATTTTTGCTCTTTGAAAATTAATTGTTTCATTGAGCAAGTTGGGAACTATTTGCTTGGGAACTGCATGATGTGTGATTTTTGCATAAAACACACATAATTATCTCATTCTGAACACGATGTCGATTACGTCGTGCGTGTAGAAAAAGGTAACGACCCACAAGGGAAAAATAAAGCTTGTGAAATGCAGTTATAAGGAACTGCATAAAATACGCGATTTTCCTCTTCGTGGGTTCGCTCGGAGGAATTGAAATATGTGCGATTAATGATAGTCGATTAAGTGTTGCTTCGTTTGGGAAACGTTTGACGACGATAATGTCGTTTTCTCTTTTCGTTGGTTTTGGCTACAGGATGGATGGAATCTTGTGATCAGGGGCTTTCTGGGACTAGCATACTTTCATCGAGACTCATTTGCGATCAGTCATGTGTGATAGACATATAAAAGTCTTGAAACAAAGTCGTTTCAACGATCAACGGGAAAAGAAATACATAATACGAAGAAAAATACATTGCGAAATCTTATTTGGTTTTGTCGAAATGGCGCTAATCAAAATAACAAGGAATTTGCAGCGATCGAAAAGTAGGATTATATCACGTAAGCAATATAACAAGCAATTAAACAACTTGCGGGATATAAATTCAACGCATATATTTACTCTAAATTTAATGAACAGTATAATAATTTAAAGGAGCTTTCCAAAAAATTGCAATAAAATTGCATGGAATAATTTTTATTATTTGTGAAATTTTTACGTGTAGCTTTCTGTTTGACGGTAAATTAAAATTTATGACATTTTACAGATTGGCAAATTTAATTAGGATAATGTTATTAATTAATGATATAATTAATCTTTCAATAATCTGTTAAAGTCATTGTGATAATCTCGGTTCAAATTTCAAAATGTAACTATTCTGTACTACTTTCGGCTTGCTCATACTAATCACAGTGGTGGAGCAATCATCCAGATCAATCAAACAATCAATTAATTCATCGCAATACGTGTCCAACGATAATTCATGGCAATTGATAATCTTTAAGCAGAAACACACGATATGATACAATCGGTTTGCTCAGGCAACGCGATAGAAGCTACGACTAGGACGGAGACACCCGGTAGAGCCAGCTGCGCGTGTTGGACGAGCATAGCTGTCGCTGCACTGGTGCTTCTAATAGCGCTTATATTTGCCTTGGAGCCACAGACACTACAACGTGTCATCTACACTCTGTCTAACAATGCCCCGAGGCAAGCCGGGTACGATCACCCTTCACATTATTTTTATTTTTATTAAAATATCTGTACCATTTTATAATATTAAAATTTTTTAAGGCCAAGCTCTTAAGACATTAGGATCTAAATTATCGATACTGTATTGTTATATATTACATCTTCACAAACGACGCAATTCAAAAGATCAAGTTTTTTCCTGACTAATATGTATCATTGCTTGAACTTTCACCTACAAAAGTGGCACAAATAAGATTATTCTTGCAAGCTTGCTTGTGACATTTTTGTAAGTAAAGATATATTTTAAAGTTATAATGCGTATTAATCGGGAAAATTTGATTTTTTTAAATATGTCAGTTTGGAAGAACAAATAAATAGTTAACTCGATTATCATATAGGCAATATGTTAGGAGGGTTTTATATATTCTATACAATATTTTACAAAGTATGCAATGTCCCAGAGATATGTGGAATTATATTGATACAAAAATTTATTAATTTAATGGAGTTTACTTCCACATTAAATTAGAATTATTGCAAAGTTATTTGTTGATAACTTACGTGGAAACTGAAATTTTGCTTTGATCAAACATGATTATATGATAGTACAATAAGATTAATAATAATCTTGGTGAATACATGTTGTAACGCGCAACAGATGATAAAACTGAACTGCCTTCTGTCACATATAGGATTACTCTCCTCTACGATACCGAATACGTCACGTATGTGCGATAAAACGTGACTTACGACGAGGACAGGTAAATTCCTGTGAACGAGGAATTCGTTCCGCAAGCTTTCTTTTTTCTGGAATCCGGTCTGCATGACTCTTGATATCCGACACCCCGCATGATTGCATCTTACCGACCTTAGTTTTGCGCTCATCGCAGCTGTTTTTAGCGCAGTGCTCCGTTATCAGAGCGCAACGATTTTCTCGCCAACTTTAGAAAGATATGTTTTTACACCTGCTGCACGTATACCTTTGTAGCATCGAAAAGAGCTCCTATTCTCCTCTTTCTTTTATTTCCACTTATTGTCTTCTTTTTTTTTGTTTAGTTTCGAGCATCCAATAGTTCACTCTCTTACCCTTCTAGCTCTCTTCTGACAATAAGCAACTCAAGATAAAGCTAAAGTGTAGAGGGACCAACAGTGTTTTTTTAGTCACGTTAGGATTGTTAGGCGAATCGTCATGTAAGTAATCTCTAAGTGTAATGTATATGTAACCACACGTATATAAGCACAATGTGCGAGAATGGCTTACTCTGGACCTGTCGATATACGGATGAGTATATACGACTACTTTTCGAACGGCACTCGATAGCTCTCTCGCGCTCTCTTCTCCGCGACGAGAGCGAGTTGTGTTGCACCGACTGATGTACTGCAGCTTCTTAACGAACCCGTTCAATCTTCCCTTCCGATCCCGCAGAACTCTAATGTGTGTCGCGGACTAAAAGTGGACGAGAGCAGGGATTGCGAGAAAACGATATAATTCCGGTAAGTTCAGATTTCGATGTCATCAATATGACGTGAATAATATATCCATGTTTACTCACGATAATGGAAATAAAATACATTTTTCAGTATCCACTGCATCGAAAATTGGACTCACTGTAATTATATTGATCTCTTTTTCTCGGAAATGAGGAAAACGAAAGAAGGTACAAATCGCGAACAGTTTCACGATTTTACTCTTTATTTTCTTTCCTTATCTCCTGCAGTCTGCAGTCGTTCTTCCCATCAGCGATTCAATGGTCTAAAATGTGGACGTTTCCAACGGCTAAAACAGTCATTGAATGTGAATTTGCATCCTGTGCAATTTGTACGACACATTTCTTGTCAACGTATCAGACACGTGAAGACCGACTCAATGATTTCGTGTCGTCGTCCCGAAGAATTCTAAGCCCGCAAAAAGATGCACGTCCTTTCCGCATCGGAAGCTAATGTTACCAAAACCCGCAGTAATATTCTAATACTACTTGACCGTTCGTCTAACAATACTAACTGATGTAGTTAGTACGGGCTCCTATAAAATGATTGCCAAATTTTATGGAGCGTTTTGTGAAACTACGGTCAAAACCAAAGGGCGGTAGATTGGCAAACATAAGAACGAAAACTTTATTATATACCTGACGATAAAATTTACTTTTGTTTCTTATACATTTTGGACTTGACAGCACTTTGCCTCAAAAATTTGTTATGCGCAAATTTAGAAAAAATTAAAAATCTCTTAATTTATTTCTATCAAAATTGTCATTACTTTACTTCAGAAATCTTAGAACAATGCTGTTAGAATTATGTATCGATGATTCTTTATTGCAGTTTGGCATTTCCATTTTTATGCACATCAGAATATATTTTTTTAAACTATCCGTCGAAGAGACACCACTTTCAGTTTTTACCGTAGTATATTCTTCTGTTGTAAACTTCTGTCGAGAACGTTGAGTATCTACATCTCTTACGACTAACTGCTAAATGCTTTGTTCAGCGGCTTTTATCAGCGCTTCACACGAGCTCGCTGCGTGCAGCACAATCATACTGAGAAGTATTCAGAATATTGCTCAGTAATAACGTCGTCGTACTTAAGTAACAGGTCAATGAGCGTTTATTTCTAAGCTCTGTTACAAAGATGCTGTCTTCCTATGAAATGTAGCTGATTCTTCAACCCTAAATAACTGAGTAATTACATATAAAAAGAATTGACAAACCTTGTGTAAAATTGAATATTACGGAATTTAATTAAAATATTTAACTTGTATTATATTTTATGTATTCTTATATGTATTTCGCTATTTAGGGTTCCAATTCAATATATATAACTATTCTTCATTTTTTCTCGTATGAGAATACACGATGTATCCGATAAATTGTAGCACAATCAGACGAGAAGATAATTTCTTGTAAAATGAGAAACAAATAGTGTAGCGAGACTTTGTCTTCTTGACGATTGTATTACGATTTTACTGTCGACTGGACGGTGATTGTCATTGCGATACACGTTTAAATTATAATTAATAGACATAGGAATTCGGCCAAGTTTGATGACTTACAGCTTGTAGCACACGTTTAAAAGTAATTAGCATCACAGTACAAGAAAATCAGTAGTAAACGCAGTAAGGGTTGTATAAGGAACATGAGTCACGCGAGGTATAAACTATCTGCCGTGACAGATATCACGTGAATTGTAAAGAAAACGGTTGCATATAGTTTGGCTGATTGAGTGAAAATGCGTATTATATATATATATATTATATATTATGTATCGTCAAATGTTTTAGCAGTGTTGTAACTTTTTTTATATGTGTCTAGTCTTATCCCCTTGTTTTGGGCATGATGTAAAATTGAGAGGTATATACGATTCGTACTTGTCTCTATGTAAAACACAGCAACGAAATAGCGAAATCTGCCACAACGCATAAGCCACGCAGGTGTTTGATTTGTTCTCGTTTGTTGTCGCAGAATCTGACTTTTTGCAACATAGCGAGCCATCCTTTATGGAAACGACAACGATCGAGGTGGATCCTGTTACGCAGGAAAGGTGTGTATGAACATAAAATCTTGTTTATTTTTTTTTTAATATGTCAAGTTTTTTTACAATAATAGAATTTATTTCTTTCTCCGGAATCTTTAACAAACGCCCAAAGAGATCTGAAAAGAATATTTTTTTCTTGCAGCATAACGACGACCACGCGAATGGAAACGAGGACAATATCGTCCATGGGAGCCGGTGGCACGGACGATTTGCGAGAATCTATGCAGAAAATCATGGACACATTTATGACGGAGGAAAGGAAGGACCATTAGAAAGTAACGCGCTTGCCCTTCGAGCCCATGACGAAGACGAGAAAATTTATCGTCGAGGAGTCTCGACGTCGATTCTCTCGCGATTGATTTTACGAAGCACCTTGACTCTCGATTTGACGCGTCCTCGGGCGTCGAACGACGAGTTCTTGATTATATTGGGCCAGATTGGCACGTGGAGGACATGTTCGTCGCGCGCTCTTTCGAAGTGCTGCCTCTCTGAAGCCACGCAATAGCATGCACGATGATTTACTACCACGCTCATGGCCTATGCTTCGGATTTGCTTGCCTTTCCGTTCCGCTCGGTTGCCTTACTTCTTTGCGTTCGGGATCTCGCGATCGATGATGAAGAAATGTGTTTGTGTATGTCGTTGCTAGTTCGACTAGCCGATCCGCGCTAGTCTTCACTATGCCAACCCGTCCATGTACAACGCCTTTCTCGTGTTGTTCAGAGCTAATGCGAAGGGAGGGAAAGATAGGCGAAAATGATGAGAAATGAAAGAAAAAAAGAAAGATGCGAATGGCAGGAGTGCAGCAGAATAAGATTGTCTCGAGTAAACGATCCGCCGATATTAGCGATCGTTTAGGTAAGCAAGATTCTCGCGAGAATAGTCCGTTTAAGCTTTAGAATGGTTATCTCTGTCCGCGCAATATATCGCTTAATAGATCGGCAATATATAAATATATTTCATTAACACCTTCGACGATGAACGAAATTGACGAAGTTTCTGAAACGGAATTATGGGAATTTCTTGTTGTTACTCGACTCAAGTCGCAAGTTCAAGCACAATTTAAGAAAAAAAAAGAAAAGAAAATGATGAACTACGAGAGGCGTCGATTATTGCGTGCACCGGCCGTATTGGTTTGATTAACAGTGAGAAATCAATGTTTTTATGCATCAGGACATAATGTATAAATTTAACTTGTTTAAAGGATATTTCCTAACAGTTTTTAATTGTATATATAATAATTTCTTAGCATAACTTATACATATATATATAAATGTACTATGGATACAATTGTAATAAGATGCTATATAACAAGTATATTTTATTTATATAGCGAACCCCTATGGACAAATGTTACGCTCGTTAATTTATAAGCTCGAAAAAGTTACACTATCGGCGTTATATCATCCACGTGAACCAAGTGTAAGTGTAATTGTGAGAGGCAATTACATCGTACACGACGATGTAGAGATTATGTTGTCTGAGATCCTTGACGATTCGCGGGTTCGTTTTAATATCTAAGCCAGTGTTAGCTTTCAATGTATGACACAGTTTTAATGAGCACAGAAGGAAAACAGATCATATAATATATAAATATATTAAAATTTAAATAAACTATTCTATTAATGTATGATATATTGAAAGATATTAATGATTATGCTATCTGAAGTTTATAAATTATTGTCTATAATGACTGTTATACTACGTTTAATAGACTTGCCTAGAGCCTATCTGACCTAAGGACCAAAGGCACAATCACACACGCGCATCAAAATAAAAAGTAATATGCTCCCATGTATTGTCGTAACATATTTAGTACATAGTTCATTATGAATACCGCGGTGCTGGCACTTCAATGCTGTCGACGATGTCGCGTGACTTATCTCACGAAAAAACAAATATTTATATATGTACCTCGTTGCATTATTATTGCAAAATGCAATATGCTTATCACGCAGCGCGTACAGACATCATATTCTATATGCAATAGCAATACATTTTATGCTCATATATATATGATATATATAATGCAAACAATAATATATATATTGCGTATAATATCGACGTACTTATCGTCAAAACATTGACGTGCCAATGCCGATGCTTTATATCTCACATACTTTTGTACAAGTTAATTTTCGTGGACAATGTAACACGTTAAGCAGCCAAGCATATTTCCCTCTATACTAACAATGTCCCTCCTTGATATTATAGCATTAAATTATCATTACAGTGGCATTGCATGGCGTCAAGATATCAAAAACGAAAGAGACTATAATTTACTATATAATACTGTGTGATAGAACTATCAGCAGCATAATAAATAAAATGTTGCATAAAAATTACAAAGTTCTCTATAGTGGCAGCATAGAGAGAGATGACCCCTCATCTCACTCTTGCTCATCTCACATTTAGATACATAGCAAATATCTAATAATTTATCATTTAATGCACTCTTCTTTTTTTAATGCGCTCACTTTTTCATTTTTTTATTGCATTAATATTATCTAAAAAAATCATTTCATACATGAAAAATGAATAGTATAATCTTATGTAAATTTAAGTTCTCTTTATATTATAAATAATACGATTAATTTTATTTAATTTTTAATCGATTATTTGCAGGAAAAAGGTCTGGGAAAGTAAGTATTTCTCCACTTTTTATAATTTGTTAAACATACGCAATTTTATTTAACATGAATCCAAAAAATCCAAGTTCACAAATTGAATTCTATCAACTAAATAATGATATTACGGATTCTCTCATACAAAACTGATCACGTAACTCAGGCCTGGCCAAAAGCTTGCTCGCGAGCAGCCTTCAGAGTCCGCTGGATGGGGACTCGGCCCCCACTATCTCGCCGTCCCCACTTATGTTTGCTCGCTATCTTTTGTTCTAAGCCTTAGAATAAGGCTTAGAACAAAGAATCCCCATCCAGCGGACTCTGAAGGTTGCTCGCGAGCAAGCTTTTGGTCAGGCCTGACGTAACTTGTACATTTTCGTTGTTGTTAATAGCCGTTGTTGCCAAAATGTAGTACATATTATAGTTCTTTCGATACAACGAAGAATAACATGTATTGAATGATTGCACTGATACATAACAAAACATATGTTCTGAAGATTACACATTATTTGCCGCACAAAGACTATATTATCAGTAACGTGTGCGTTAATCGATTGAAACTATAATAAAACAACACTAAGATAGACAAGTTTACTGTCACTAAGAGAACAAGTCCCAGTTTGTCTTTTTAATTCATTTACTTAGCAATTTTACTAATTATATATTCTAATATATCATCAAAGTTTGACTCATCAGATCTACATAACTTGTTTTCCGCTTCTTAATGGATATTTTAGTAAAACCTTTCAACATATAAAAAAGGATTTGTGTAATATACAGTGATATTTCTATTTTCTGTTTAAATAATGACATACATATGCATTATGTTGGCAGATAATACGTAATGTAAGTGAGAGAAAAAAAATATACAGAGAAACTGTTACAAACGTACATTGATTCTGTACACAGTAGATATATAAACATAGATCAAACCTGCTAACCTGGCATACTTGAAATTAATGCGAAGTTTATTACAATGCGCTAAATATCATCTGTAATTTTGCTATCAAAACAGAACTTGCGTTCTTATAAAATTTACAAATATCACAAGCGACTATTGCGACTAACGCCAAACCGGAACACAATGTTACTCATAAACTGACAATTTATTTATATATAATAATTTATAGATACACAGAGAAGGGGACAAGATGAGCTTGATAGAAGGAAACTTTGATGTTGCATAATCGCATTTTGTGAAATGGATAGATGTCCCCATGCATTTTCGTGATGTACGTTTTTTTTTTATTATTATACTGTGGGTCATCAGATCTGTAAGGATAATAGCATATCATATTATTACACTAGAATGATAAAACTTTAAATACTGCAAAAAAACTTTGTTACAGAAAAAAGCTATTATAGAAAGGTTATAGAAGCAAAAAAACAAATTTAGTCAAATTGGAGAATAAAAACAAGTGATAGCAACAGCACAATTTAAAAACATAAATAGATAGTTTGAAAAGAAGAATCAGAACACATGGAAACTTACATTGTCAACATCGTCTTCATCATCATCACTAATTTCATCACCAAACTCGATGTCTTCATCAAATCCATCTTCGACGAAGGTGACTGTATCATTGATACGTACTAAAGATAAGAGAAAATTCCATATTTTAGTAAAATAATATAAATTATTTTAACATAAAAAAACTTACTAAATAAATTTTATTTTACGGTTTCTACAGAAACGCTTTAACATGAATTATACTGCTGTACCACTTACCAGTTTCTGGGAATTCACCATAAGTTTTCAAGTTACGTGCTTCATCAGATGTGTACTTCAATATGACGTCTGCTTTAGCATCCTGATAATCTCGCAACCCAATTAATATAATGTCTCCCTGATTTATCCACACTTTCTTTCGGAGTTTTCCTCGGATGTGGCACAACCGTTTGACCCCATCAAAGCACATGGCTTCTAATCTACCATTACCCAGCATTTTTGTAACTTGAGCATATTCTGCGCAAAACAAACACACCATGAGTCACCGATAAACTTGAGACATTTACAATCGCAACGTTGCGTTCTCCACACTGCACTCTCACCTTGTCCATCTTCTTTGAACACCAACTCTCTCTTCTCGGTTTCGTTCTCGTTCTTTCCTCTCCTCCTGTTTTTACCTCCCTTTCCTGCGAACAAAACGTCAACCACATAATAACGCTCGCAAAAATTTGTGACAAAAAAAATATAACATTGGAATATTTCTTTTTAATAATTTTGACATTATAGGTTAGATCAACCACATTGTAAGAATGCAAATCGAGTTCAAACGAAGCAATAGAATCTGGAACGAAGTCCTACTAACCTTTATTTTTTGGCATGATGCTTTAATGTAATATTTCCGATCAGCAACAATACAAATGATACAACGAGACGAATGGAACGCACCAAGCTCCTCACGCAACAGAGACAGGTGATTGTAGAATATCAGAAACGAGATCCTTGAAAAAATGATTCTTTATTTCTATCATGGCGTCTAAAGAATAAATATTCTCGCTATTTTTAATTATCAGATCAATGTACATGCGATCGAAATACTTACAAAAAATTTCAATTTAACGATGCAATTGACTCGAAAGTCGCAGGCTTCGTAATCAGCACTTCGTGGCTTCACCCTCGAATATGAACATTGAATGTTCTGTAAATTGTAGCAGCAGGAAGTAGGGTTTATGTTAAATACTCATAAAGCGTGACTCAAGGCAGATTTACATTTAGTGTTCAATATGCAACATTTCATTGTCCAATAAAGAAACGTGCATTCTAGAGACTTTAACTGATTTTATTTTTGTTTATGAACAATTTTTTCATTGGACAATGAATATCTCTATGTTAAAAATGAACTCCGTTTAAACCATGTAAACCTGCTATTAGATTATCATGTTTATCGCTGCTGGAAGTTATCTAATAAAACGTTGATTATTTATATTATTAAAAAATATCAAATTATTATGTTATCAAGAGTGACAGTTAATATTATTAGGAGATCAATATGTAATAATGCACGTGCGCTTTATTGCGCAGGAGATTCTGTACAATCAAATCTTTTAATTCATGACAACAGTACAAAACAGCATAGTATACAAAAACATTGTAATCTTTACAATCTGTATATAATAAAAAGATTCAAATCCAGAAAAAAAACTGCAGATAGTGTAATTGATATAACAGTTTTTTCATATATTTTTTTCTCATTATTTATCTTCCTAACGTAGACAAAAATGTTGCAGAAGAAAAGCAGAGATGAGGATTCTGATGAGGAAGATGATGCTGTAGAAGCACCAATAGGTTCAAAAGCGTTAACAGTGAATCTTACATCTCTTCGATTTGATGCTCTTTGCAAAGCTGGATTTGGAATAACACGCAAGTATGACATATATTATCTTTTATCAAGACATTTGAATTAAACGTGTAATATTTGTACCAAATCTCAATACTTTAATGATTACAATACTACTCTTATATCTATGTACTTGTCTAATATTATTGTACAATTAATAGCACTCTATTAAAGTTTTAAACTTCTTTTTTGCTTTTAGTAAAATAGAAGAAGCATTTTATGCAAGCAAGTTTCGTATAAATGGAAAGAAAGTGTTTAAAAAATCTGTAGAGGTAAGTTTATATATTTAGATTAAAGCTAAAATAATTTCTTAAACTTTAATAAGCATTTTTTATCTTTATCTTATAAATCTCTATATATAATAAATGTGATATAGGTGGAGGTAGGAGATGAAATTGATTTAGTTTTACATCGAAAGGAGGATAATCCTGATTTTCTAGTTGTAAATAGAATTTTGATATTATCAATGAGTCCTGGAATTGATAATGTGCGAATCAAAATATCCAGGGATAAAAACCTATTAATTGAAGATTACGATGAACCATGGTCAGTCTAATAATTTAATTTTTAACATGTTAATAGTAAAATTGTATTAACTTTGCAACTGTAATAAAGAGATATTCTATACTTCTATAGTATATTTTAGTTATAATTTACAACTAGTAATTTAGTTACTTATTCGACTATTAATTATTTTGTTATATTGTCTCATTTACTTACTTCATTTTAAGATATATTTGTGTATGAGCTTACAAGAAAAGAGGATATTTATATTAATAACAAAATATACATAAAAATTAAATTATTCAGTAAATGTCTATATATTTATTCTGTAATTTCTTTTACTTTATCAGAGAAAGAATCTCCAATTGCTCCCAGCTCTTTCAATAGATCTTGTTTCGACGCAAAATAATCTTTATACCACATAATATGATCAACTTTCTCTTGAACTGTCAAGTACGGATTTTTGGAAAGTCCAGTGCACACTAATTCCATAAAATGACTGATTGGCCCTGACTTAGGACACCATCCCTTTAAATGACGTTCCATAAAGACATGGTCTGCGAAATGAACATTGTGCTCTTCTTCCATTCCTGAAATATATAAATAATTATATATACTAGATCTTGGGAAAAAAGTAGGTAAGTAATGTGTAACACATATATAAAAACCTTGCTCATTGTCAATAGGAAATTTCCACAATTTTCCTTGCTCCGTCCAAAGAATCATTTCTTGAAAAACATTGGCTGGTGGATAAATCGTCAATGCTTTTAGCTCTCTTTGCTCCAATGCCTTCCATGTTTTCAATTCCGGTATATTTGTTGTAGGAATAACCATTTGTTCAAAAATTTGAGTAGGCTTTCCATTCCATATTCTGATGTTTCTACTATACCAATAACAGATTAAAGATAAACGTTTAATATATTTTTGAAAAATCTAAATAATAATCTGCATATTATGTAATTTAATCTATTTTGCGAATATTTAATATTATTTTGGAAAAATATACCTGGCATGAGGTTTTTGTATATTATTTTCCGAAGATTGTTTAATGCTGTTTAATAACTGTCTTGATATACTATTTTCAATTGGTGGTTGTTTATCTTCAACTGACTGTTGATTTCTAACTGGTTTATCTTTACTAACTCGTTTATCTTTAACTGATGATTGTTTATAATCATCAAGTAAAGTTCGTATTATAGACTTCTTTTCTGAATCTTGTCCTTTACTTTTTGATGGCTCTTTCCATTTTTTGTCTTTCCGCAATTTGCTATAAAATATTACGATAATTGTATTATAAAAGTTTAGAAAAGTTATATAAAAATATATTATATAGTATATACGATTAATAGTGTTTTGTGACATAAGCCATCTCATGTTAGAACAAGAGATTGTTTGGGCATGGAATGACACATATATAATTGACGTACGTATTTTTTAACTGATTTTCTTTCAAAGCTTCTATTCTAGATGCAAGAACTTTTTGAAGCAAGTCCGATGTAGTTTTTGTTTTATCTCCACCAATTGTGTTGGCTACATCTTCTGCTGCATTTATTAATTTCTTTTCTACAAATAAATAATATTTAATAATATTAATAATATAAATAATATTTAATATATTGAACAAAATCTTAAACCACATAATCTCTAAATTATCATTAATTAGAATTACCATAAGACAGATGTGTTCCTGTACTGGATTTATCATTTTTGCTTTTAGGCTGCAAAGCAACATCAATGGTTTTCTGTGTTTTTCTTGCCTAAATATAATAATAGATTTTTTAATCAAAATTCATTAATTTATGTTTTCTCTCAAAAATATTTTCTTATATTAGTTTTAAATATATTAACGTCTTCAAAATATAACAACTTACCGTAATCATTTTATTCAAATATGTAGTTAAATCGGAGGTAACTTGTGTACTTTTCTGTTCCTATATGCATAAGATAAGAAGATTTTAGAGAAAACTATTTTAAAATATAATGGTATGTAATTTAAAAAATTCAATATACTTTTACCATTTCCTTCGAGTAAGTATTCATAGTATTCTTAACAATTTTTGCAGATGCAGTTTTCTAAAAATATAAAACCAGCATTTAAAGATGTATCAGATAAAAGAACATATACTCTGAATTTAACATAAATTAAAGTTATTAAAAAACTATAATTTACTTCAATCATGTTCAAATAATTTTGAAGACTGTTTTTATTGTCTGATGTTGCAGAACTTGTACTTTTGTCATACTTTCTTTTTGATTTCGCTTTTTCATTGTCTGAATCAGAATCAGATGAGTCTGATGATGAAGAAGATAATGATGAGTCTGATGACAATCTCATAGTAAAGTTTAATGATTGATACAACAATCCATTTGTAAGTCTTATATTATATCTGCAAAATATAAAATTGTTTACAATTATATAAAAATATAATTTTTTTGCTTTATATATATATAATATTTTATGTAACATGACAAATTGCTTCACATAGTATAGTTAATAAAAAGAAAAGGACATTTTAGTTGCAGATATATATATATATATATATAATCTCTACTTTTACAATATTTCCAATATTTTCGTAACGTTATATTGTTACTTACTTGGATAATATGTATATAGGTAACATATTTGTGAATATAATACAATCAACGAGTTGTAAACGTGACAACACCCTCACTCAGAATCGAAGACAGCAGAATCTGGTAAAAGAGATAATGGCATTTACGTGTTAATAGCACTAGTAATAATACATTACATATTACATATTTATATGTAGAAATCATCAACAGACACAAATTTAATTGTACAATTATAAATTGCAAATAAAAATTAACCTAACCTAACTTAATATCGTTAAGTGAACAAATTTTGCCTTTCTATGGTAATGCCATCTGAGTGAGAAAGCTGCAAACTTTTTAACAATATTTTCTTTAACAGCAGCTAATAATTATTGAGTTAACTTCTATCGGTACATTTCCGACCGAGTTTCACACAATTTGATGTAGCCCAGATAACCAAGCGTGCGATTTCCAGGTCTATATAGTTGGCCCCCCCTCTAACGCAAATCGTAAAAACATTTATATATTCGGATTGTACATTGTTTGTACACAAATGTACTATGATTTTTATTCATTTGTACATTTTTCGTTTAATTTAAAAAAAATTAAACAAAGTTTTACGTTAACTGTGCCAATGATAGTTAACCCCCCCTATGTCGCAATTACGTCACATAAACTATAACTTATGAATTTATCGTGCTTAATCGTTTGTACGTCGTTTGTACATTATTAATAATTAGTTAAATTTATAATTCC